CCAAAGTCTCCGAAGGACTGATAATTAATCCTTGTAACACAAAAACAGTCTGACCTTGAAGATACTACATTTCCATTTGGGAGAGCTCCTTGATCTAGCCTTACTATTGGATGACCAGATCAAAATTAGTGGTACATATTTTACTACAAGACTACACTAGTGTAAATGCATGTTAAAGGAGGCTGCAGACTTCAACTAGTGCAAAATAGATCAGCAAAAGTTCTGACAAAGTGACTGGTCAGAAATATTTACTGTTCCAGCTGCACTAGCTAGTGATCCATCTCTGGGCTCAGTTTAAAGTGCTGATCATGATAACATTTAAAATCCTAATGTTTTAGGACCAGGCTACCTAAAAGATTGCCTCCTTCTGTTCAATCTTGCTGCTTGCCCTTTGAAATCTATAGTGGGCAGATTATGTGGTGCATCCTCTTTCTATATTGCACTTATCTGATGGAGAGATACATCGGTGCCTGTTCTATAGCACTACAGCTGTAGAATTCTTTGCCACTGGAGATTCACCTAACACTCTCCGAGTTATCACTTTTTTTACCTCATTAAGCTAAATTTTTTATTCTAGCAGGCATTCTATCTGACTAATTACTCATGTTTGCATTTGTGAACTGCTCTTGTCTGTCATTCTGTCTTCTTCTTGTTTCCCTTTCCCCAGCTGGATTTATTGTGTTTTTGTTTCATTGACTGATTTTATAGTTGATTATTAGCTGCAATTGAGCATCTCTTTTAAAAAAATCGAACAATTTCTCATAAACAAATGCAAATTTAAGTATTGTTGATGTTGTAAAGAAGCACTTTTCTACCAAGTAATTTCCAAGTTCTAAGTACCTGGACTTTGTCTTGTAAAATGTTTCTGCATTACAAATAGGACCAAGTCTAAAACCATTATTTTTGCAGTTCCCCAATCACACACCTAAAGGTGCTTTGTTATATACAGTAATAAGCATATAGGTTGCATAATCAAAGTCATGGAGTCAGTGTAGAGAATCTATTTAGCTACCTATTATTAGATGAATAGGTTAGGACTCAACTAAAAGTAAGCATTAACAACTTACATTCAGCTACAGAACTTCTGGTCATGTATAAAAACATTTGTTTACCTAAATCTCAAGCACTCTACATCCTGTTAAGTCAGAGCTGTGTGGTTTAATACTCTACATTCTTATATTAGTCATAATGAATCTCATTAGCTTATTTTCTTTATTGACACAGATGCCATGTTGGTACAGAATCTCATTAGCTTATTTTCTTTATTGACACAGATGCCATGTTGGTGCAGACTGATTACATCAAAAAGCAGAGCATGCTCAGGTAAATTCAGAGACAACAAATAGCCATTGCGAGGTTTAGCACCAGAGCAACTTTTCCCAACCTTGTGCCTCCCAGATGTGTAAGACTATAACTTCCAACATGTTTAGCCGGTACTAGCCATTCTAGCTGGGGATGATAAAACAAATGATCTAGCGCATCTGGAAGGCTCAAGGTTGCAGAAGGGTCTTCTGGGCAAGAATTAAATTTTTTCACAGACATTCTAGTACTGACCCATTACTGTGAAAGTCTAGGCTAAAACAGGACACAAAAATTGAGAAAATTGTCCTGAGTACATAGAATTATTTACAGCAGACTACTCCAAAAATAACTTATCTGATCCATTAGAGAACTCCAAGGAATGAGAGAAGTAAAAGATATGAGTAAAACACACAAGATTACTGTTAGCTGTCATGAAGGCACCACAATTTTTGATCCAATCTTTTATATCTTCTTTGCATCTCAATATAAATATGGGAAACAAGGATAGAAAAGCTTAGACGAAGCTTGCCGGATTATGTTTGCCTTTCAACTGTTAGATGCTGAGATCACACTGCTGATTACATTGTTCATAATTTGCAGTTTTCCATATCATTTTATCTGATGATTATCCTGGCAATCCTGTGGCAGTAATCTCAGGATTTCAACTGGTATGAAAATTCAATTCTCCCAAAACCCTATGGTTTATTAATATAGGATATTACTCCTGTGTTCCCGATTCAAAACTTGAGGAAATCATCTGACATTGCACTGAATATCATTCCTGTGTTGGCAGCAGAAAAAGGATGCCAAGCTTTACACAGTAAAGACCAACAAGAATGCTGACAACACCAACATCAGCTGTCAAGATGATCTACAGGATCCTCTCTAGTGCCCATTATCATTCGCAGACACCAAGAAAAACTAAATTTCCGGCTACTTTTTATCAGTTAACTACAACTAAATCAAACATAAAGCATTTGTCCTGACTTTTTCAATAAGTTCTCTAGGCATTTATTGCTTGGGGCATAAAACAATCTTAATTCTCTTTGTAGGTACTTTTGTCTCTTTTGTACCACTCTGTTCGCAGCTCTTCTTTCCCTCAACTTCTTTCTCCTTCCATCACTCCTCTCTCTCCTCATCTCCCAACTCACTTGTGTGTGCTTAATTGTTCAAAGATACTTATTCTTGAAGTAAAGCTAAAGTCCCAATCCACCATTTTACTTAGATGGAAGCTCCATTGACCTCAATGTTTAACTTCTTAAAGTACAGTACAGTGGTGCCTCGCATTACGACGTTAATTCGTTCCAGCGAAATAGCTGTAGAACGAAAACGTAATGCGAAAATAAAAAGCCCATTGAAATGCATTGAAACCCCTGCATTCCAATGGGCTGGAAACTCACCGTCCAGTGAAGATCCTCCATAGGGCGGCCATTTTCGGTGCCTGTGCAGCGAGGAATCCGTCCCAGAAAACAGTGGGGAGCCATTTTATTTACCCAGCGGACATTTTGAAACAGCCGATCAGCTGGAGGAAGTCGTTTTGCGAAGAATCGGTTCCCGAAGCAGGGAACCATTCATCGCAAAAGATCGTCGTAATGCGTCGTAATGCAGGACAATTGTAAAGCGAGGCACCACTATACTGGCAAGAAGTTCAGGCAACTGTTAAGGAACACCTCAATAAGCATGGGCAGCTTGAATTTCTGAAAAAAATCTTATGTAAAACAGACATCTTTAAGATTCTGAGTCTTCCAAACAAAAGCACAGATCAACTTCAAATAAAAGAAAACATGTAGCAGGAATCACTTCCTTTTCAAGAAGCAGTGGTAGGTGTTTGAAAAAGAATTTTGCCACAAACCACAAAGCATAGTACAGTGGTGCCTCGCTTAACAGGCGCTCCGTTTAGCGATGAAATCGCTTAGCAATGACTTTTCGGAGCGCTTTTGTGCTTCGTTTGGTCTCTATGGGCAATTTTCGCTTAGCGATGGTTGGGACCATGCTTCGCATAGCGATTAAATTTTGGGTACCCTGTTTTGCTTAACGATGGTTTAAACAGCCTCATGTTTGCTGTTTTTTAAATGTTTTTCTTTTATTTATAAAGTTACAGTTTACTGTTTAAAATGTTTGAAATCATAAAGTGCACTTAATACACCCTTTGTTAACCAAATTCGACTTTGTTCTGACTCTTTTTTAATTTGTTGTTGTATTTTCCCCCCATTGAGATGCAATGAATAGGTTTCAATGCATTTCAATTGGGGAACCGTGTTTCGCTTAGCGATGTTTCCTATGGCGATTTTCGCTTAAGAACGGCAATTCGTTCCTATTGGAACGGATTATCCAGTTTTCAATGCGTTTCAATGGGAAACCGCGTTTCACTTAGCGATGAAATCACTTAGCAGCGATTTTTTCAGAACGAATTAACATCGCTAAGCGAGGCACCACTGTAGTAAAGTCAGATTGTGGGGAAGTTTTTAAAATTGAAATTAGAACTTTGAAAGTACTTCAACTGTTACCAAATTTGGAACATCCTGCCTATTCCCAGTATGCCAATTACAGTCCCAATTTAAAAAAAAAACTGTTCAAAAGTTATAACTGTTTGTTTGGTCTGTCCATTCCTATCAGTATCAGTAATGTTTATGGAATGCTGTTTTAACTGGTCACACAATAACAGAAGTGCACTCCTGTCCAACTTTAATAAGCTATAGCAAAAAAAGAGGCATTTGGCAAATGGCATGGTAATCCTTAGGCCAGGGAGATAGGCAGAGAAGCCTAAACAAGTGTAATTACAATTACTCTCTCAGAGGTGAGGCCAAAGATAGTTTCCAAATGCAAGATAAACTTTTATTAGCTTGCTGTAAGTTCAGCATCCAAATATAGTTTTAAAATCAGTGCTCCTTCAAATCTGAATGCACTGTGGCCATCCAAAAATCACAGTTCTATCACCTCAGTCTCTCATTTCTACTGTAAATTGAATCAGTCCCTGCCGATCTCACAAAAACAACACAAAGACAAACCAAACAAAGGAAAAATCTGCTTTTAAAACACTGTTGGTTTTGAGTGCTGAAGGCCAGTACAATTTAAAGAAAACAGTATTTTATCCCAAAGGTAATTTCTGGGGGGTGCAATTAACCACACTGTAAAAACTACATATTAGGGATATAACTACGTGACGTATTATAAGGCCGTTAAAAAGTGGACGACACAGTCCCTATTCCAAATCCTGTCTGAGCGAGGTTGCGTTTTATAATCCTAGCCCATCTTTTCACACCTTCAGCCCTCGGTTTGCAATGTGGGGAATAACACTGGGGATAGACAGGAAAATATCACCGATCTGCTCTACAGGGATATCGTAAAGGCTACACAAATAAGACAAGCTGTCCTGATCGCTGAAGAGTGCCGCAGACATCTGAAATGTTAAATGTTCCCCAAAAGGAAGCAATTACGCGCACTGTTTACAGTTCTGGGAGGCAGGAAAGGGCCCCAGGAATCCACATCCGACCCCAGAAAGGCACGCTTTCCCGCCCTGGGAGAGGTGATGGGCCGGAGCCCAGCCAGCTTGAGTCGGGACCGGACCCACCACCTGGGACCAGGCCTTCTCGTTTATTCCCCCCCCCCTTTCGCCGCCTGGCTTCCTCCTTCTCGTCCTCCCTCCATCCCGGGGACTTCCTCCGCCTCGCCTTCCCATCCTTGCCGTTCGCCCTTACACAGTGACATGGCCGGAGCCGCGCACCACGACCGGGTCCGGCGAGTGCTTCAGCAGCTGCTCCTCCAAGGCCCGCTCCTCGTCTTCCTCTTCCTCGTAGATCTCGTCGAAGTCCGCCATGGCCAGGCCGAGCCGCGAGGAGCCTGCCGGCGGAGCCGCGGAAGGGAGACGATGGGGGAGACGGGAGTGGGGGGAAGAGAACTGAAGCGAAGGCGAGGGGCACGACCAGCGAGGCGAGCACGGCCGCCTCCCGTACCGGCCCTCGAAGCCCTCCCCGCCGAAAAAGTCGCCGCAGCCTTTTCCCTCAGAGCCGCCGGGAAGAAGCGCCCGTCATGATCCCGCCGAGAGGGACGGACAGGAACCGCCACAATAACAACATCCGCTCCGCGGCGGCCCAGCAGCCACTGACGGAGGAGCCCGTCGGCTCAAGGCCCCGCCCTCTCCGCCGCGGCCCAACGCCCGGGAGTCTCGCGGCACCACCACGAGCCCCGCGCGTGACCCCGCCAAAAAAGTCCCCCCATCCTTCCCCCTCAGAGCCGCCGGGAAGAAGCGCCCGTCATGATCCCGCCGAGAGGGACGGACAGGAACCGCCACAATAACAACATCCGCTCCGCGGCGGCCCAGCAGCCACTGACGGAGGAGCCCGTCGGCTCAAGGCCCCGCCCTCTCCGCCGCGGCCCAACGCCCGGGAGTCTCGCGGCACCACCACGAGCCCCGCGCGTGTGCGCGCGCGCCCCCGTGGAGAGGGAGGCTGCAGAACGAGAGAGCGCGCGCTGTTCGCCGCTACTATAGTTCCTCCTCCTCCTCCTGAAGAGCGTGAGTTCGTCGACGGCGGTGTGCGGCCAAACGCCAAAGCAGGAAAGGTGATGGGCCTGCTGGATGTGGATCCTGAGAGCGGAAGCGTTTCTCAAGCCTGAGCTTACTGTACTTCCGCCCTGTTTATTTTGTCTGCCTCGTTTCTGTGGCCCGGGCTTCCTTCTACCAACCAAGTTTCAGGAGGGACTCTGGGAAGCTATACTGTATTCAAGTGGGCATCTTCCGTTAGCATCTCTGCTTCGCAGATGGAGTCCAGTTGTGTTGATTCTAACAGGAAACAAAACAGCAACAGTGTGCTCTTGTACAGATCCAAAAACAAACCAAATAGGATTCAATTCTGGCTGATTTTTAACTTGAGAGTCGCTGTCTCATTGTAGTCCTAATCAGCGTTGCATTCTGTTGAGATGGAAGGGCAGTTCTGTACCTGTTTACTGAAATGCAAACCCTGTTGGATTCACTGAGACTTACCCCCTGATAGGTGTGCATAGGCAGACATCAGTATCTAGTGCTTTGGCTGCTGTCTTCATGCGTTCACACTGATGGGGCTGTGTCTGTGTAAAGGCAATCCTTTCAGGACTAGGCAGAGCTTTGACCACTGTTCCTTTCTCCTTCCTGTACCCCATGCTTCTGCACACCTTTCCCTCACTTCTGTTTCATCCACCACAGGGACCACATTTTTGAGAGCCTACCGAATATTAAACAGAGTAGTTGTAAATATGGTTGCTGTGGGTTTTTCGGGCTCTTTGGCCGTGTTCTGAAGGTTGTTCTTCCTAACGTTTCATGTGGCCTTTCTCAAATACTTTACAGCTTGTCTGCAGAAGATTCCTCTTACTGACCTCTGCAACAGCTGCTAACTTTGTTCAGGAGAAGCACACAGGACATCCAAACATCCTGTAAAATTTATTTGGGCTTCTTTGCTGAACAAGAAGAAATGGGAGCATCAGCCTTTTCCTTTACAACTTGCTTTATTCCCAAGTGAACATGCATGGAATTCAGCTACAGCTTAGATACCTATGATCCTTATTCTCATTAGGGAGCAAGTTAGTGGGACTCACTAATAAAGAAACACACAGTATAGGACTGCTGAGCATCACTCTTATAGATAATTCCTGAGAGAAAAAATGGGATGCAATATACAATGAACATCCACCTGTAAAATTTATTTGGGCTTCTTTGCTGAACAAGAAGAAATGGGAGCATCAGCCTTTTCCTTTACAACTTGCTTTATTCCCAAGTGAACATGCATGGAATTCAGCTACAGCTTAGATACCTATGATCCTTATTCTCATTTGGGAGCAAGTTAGTGGGACTCACTAACAAAGAAACACACAGAATAGGACTGTCGAGCATCACTCTTACAGATAATTCCTGAGAGAGAGAAATGGGATGCAATATACAATGAACATCCATTTAACACCACCTTGCTGTCCTTTACAGCTGCAATCAAATGAGTGCATGGGATATAGATATGGGAAAACTATGCAGATGAGCTGGTGTGGATTTCCTTGAAGTTTTAATTGCAACCTCTTGGCAGTGCCGGAGAGACAAGCTCCATTTTTGTTTGGGAAATTAGGTTTCTCTTCAGCATGTGGAAAACATCAATGTAATCTCTTATCCCTTCATTTTGTACTTTCACTGTGATCTTGTCTCAGTGTTCATCTGAAAGGACACACTGCTTGCGACTTTCAGATCAAAGTTCAAGACAATCCTGTGATCCTGCTGTATCCTGTGGCCTAGCAGGCAGGACAAGTGCTGTCATAAGAGCACAATCAAACAGCCAGTTCCATTAGGAGAAAAGATTGAATTACAATATTTAAAGATGTATTGGCAGCTCTCTTGGAATTCAGCTGCCCGTTCTGTGTCACTCACTGCTGATGTCCCCCTAGTCAATGAAATAACATGATGACATCGCTTCACCTAGTTTGTGTGTGGACACCACAAAGCAGAAGTACCCTCAGGTTAATCTCTAGCACCTGGCTGTATCAGAATCTCCTAAGAATCTAGAACAGCTCAGATATCATATCCTGCCAGGATGATATTTGTAAGGGTGCTAACAAGTTTCCAGATTTAATAATAGTAAAGCTCCTTGTAATATGCATTTGTGTGTCTGTAGGGAAGAAAATTAAAAATTTCCAGAGGGAAGGGAGTAATGAGATGCGTCCTGCTAACTGTGCCCCATTTGGATGGTATCACATCAGAACAGTTAATGTACCACAACACCCAATTGGCTGTTCTTGCAATAATGGGATTATTCCCAATACTTGTTGAAGGAATTCTGTCCTACAGCTGAGCTGCATTGACATTTGGCCTAACTTTCATACTCTCTCCTCTGGCTGATTCACTTCCTGTACCAACAGCTGCCTCCTCTTCATTCTTCCATAAGTCTTCAGTGGGTATCAATACAGTACCAAGTTTATACAGTAGTTGCATTCTGCCAGTCCACTGAAAAGGAGATCCTTTTGTTCTTTGGCTTTGCAGCTCCTTGTCCTCCATGACTCTTTTGCAGCTAACATTTATTATTCCTTTCCGTTGAGGTCTGCATGAGCAGCCCTTCCACAACACTTGTGGCCCAAGAAATACTAGTGATTGTATCTTTGCTCCTAGCCATCTGCAGTAAGCAGTTAGTACTGTAGCTTCATGATCTCCCATTCCCAACTCCTGCATGTTTACACACTTATGACTGCCGCTTGGGTCAGTGGTTTGTTCATTTGTTTGTTTATTTAATAGTTCTTCCTTGTCCCAAGACTGGGACCCACTTTTGTGTAAGTCTGCATGGGTGTGAGACGTGAGGCGAGGGGGTAGAACCCCTCGCCGGAGTGTCATCCTCCCTTAGAAAAGAACAGGAGGCGCAAACAGACCCGCTTGCACCACCCGCCAAGACGGTACAATGGGGAGTGGGCACCCGTGAGCTAGAATGGGGGTTGTCCAAAATGACAGTAGCCACTCAAACTGAGAGGGAAATGGTGGGAAAGGAAGAAAGGGGCAGAACCACCATGGAGGCAGGAATAGGAGATATAAAAGGGGTGAGAGATGAGATACCTGGGGGTTGGGAGATGATATGGGTGGAAGATCCCTGGGCTGGGAAGTGGGAAAAGGTCCGGGTCCCCAGGGAAGAAGCCGATTATAGGAGAAGAAAAGGTATTCCCCCTTGCCCCTCGTATTGGGGAGAGTACGAAGCACAGGAGCAGCGTAGGATATTGCAAGAGGAGAAGGAGGCGGTGGAGAGAGAAGAGAGGGAGAAACGGGCATGGCGACTGGAGGAAGCCCAGCGGAGAGGGTTCCTGTCAGACCATGGGCTCCCTTACTTATTTATTTATTTTTATTTATTTATTTATTTGATTTATATCCCACCCATCTGATAAATCTATACCACTCTGAGCGGCTACGAGGAGAAGATGACCCCTTCGATCCCGAGGGGAGAGATGAAGGAGACCATACCGTTCTTGGACACAGGGACGGACACTTTGGATTTGGACAGTAGTAACCCCTTTACCAAAGGATCCTGGAATGATTTGAAATACAACCCATTTATGAGAGATGTTTGGACGCCCTCGGGGGACCCGTTGGTCACGGAGACAATGTTAGATTGGAGTTAGAAACTAATGATTTGATGTTTGAAGTTCCAATAAAACCCAGTTTTGATTTTGCAACTCGAGAGCCTCCCATGTCTATGTCAAAACCGGAGGAGACCCCATTTGAACCCTCACAATGGGATTGGGGCGTCAGTACTTATTCATGTCTTGTGTGGAGTTTCCTTTGGCTTTACTGTTGTCTCTAGATAGATATCCTACACTTAGGGCATGTCCAGACTGGCATTTTCCTACACTAAGCAATGGGTTCTATATTCATGATATTGCTATTTCCTCTATTACCTGGAAAACAGTACACTGTTTTGCTTATAGTAATCACAGTTAATCTTTTTATGTAATTTTCCAGTTCCTTTTATTTAACCTGACATTGAGTTTTAATTGGAGGAGGGGAAAGGCAGTCTGTAGCATGCCATTTTGTACCAGTGTTGCATGGTGTGATCTGACATGACTTCTGACGGGTGTGTAGTTTATTACATCTCCACTGTCATGAGGTGTGGGAATGTCTAGCTACTCTTGCCTCCCGGTAGCATTATCTCCTGAATATAAATAAGAATTCACATTATTATTAGTTTGGTGGAGGGAGAAATGTGATAAAATTAACACTAGACAGCAAATAATAAATCGTTGTAAGGTTGAACTCTTTGCTCTTGCAGATCTAGTTCTGCCGCTGTTATTACAGAGTGGCACACACTGGAATATCCTGAAATGAAAGATCTAGGGCATGTGGATTTGCAAAATAAACACGATGAACTGTGAAAAAAGCATTGCATGGAATGTGAAATGAGGTGCTTTAAGTCACTCTCAGCAAGACCTTAGTTCACTTGGCTCTGTATGACTCCATCCCCTGCTTAGCTCTGAGTATAGTGTTCAGATTTCCTTTATGCAAGGGCTATCCTTAAGTAATGTGAGTCTGCCACCTTAGGCAGCAGATTTTGAATGAGGCAAAAAAGCAGGAAATGGTAAATTATTTAAGTGTTTGCTGTTGTATTTCTACTGCCAAGGACAGGATTGAAAATTTCCTTCCAAAT